CCCCCCCCTCCCAGCCAGCCATCAAGCGGCACATTCATGACGATACTTTACACACATACACACACAACACAGAGAGAGAGACATAAGGAAGGGATAGAGCGAGAGGAGATGTATGTCTGTCTAGCCTCCCCGTGTGGCCGTCATGTAGACGGGAGTGTCGTCCATCACGAACTGGGCGCGCCGGGCCGTCTTCCGCACTCCCTGATGTGACACAATGGAGCGAAGGTGTGATGATGTGATCTTTCGTGCATCGGGCTGTGATGTGACTCACCTCCCAGACTGCGTGGTTGGTGTGCGCGTGTGCAGTGGTGTTTGAGTTTTTCCTGGGCGCGCCGAAGCCCTTCTTGCCGTGCACGAGCTTGTAGATGGCGCGGGAGGCCTCGTTGGCATGGTAGTGCGGCACACTGACAGACACGAGGGGAGGGAACACATTGGAGGATGGTGTTGTGTTGTGTGTGTGTGTGTGTGTGTGTGTGGCCATATATGCCTACCGCAGCTGCAGGTGTGTGAGCAGGGAGAGGCTCATGAGGTTGTGGTGGAGCGCATCGAAGACCCACAGCACATGCCTGCACACCACACACCGAAGGAAGAGCCATTCACACACACAGGGTCACATCGGCCCAGCTGGGTGCGCGCGTCTCTAGCTCGGCAGAGCTGTCGTACGTGTTGGATCTGAGCCTCTCGGTGGCGTGTGCGAGCCACTCCCACGTGTAAAACTCGCTCTCATCGCCCTCCTCCTTCTTGGATGATGCCCCTAAACCACACACAACACAACACAATCACCACGTGCTGCCCGCCATCCAGCGAACGGTCCCACCTTTTCCAGAGTAAGCCCTGAGCAGCCTGGCGTACACACACAGCCACAGGTGCACCACCAGCAGGGGGCCACCGTGCCACAGCAGCAGCGGCGTCCTGCACACAGTTGACACAACCACACACACAAATGTCTGACTTCTTCCCCCTCCCTCCCTCTTTTTGCCAGACGGACCATCCGAGTCTGGTGCCGATGTAGTAGTTGACAGTGAGCGACAGCAGCATGCCCACGAAGCTGAGGAGCCCCTTGGGCAGGTTGAGGAACCCGAATGCATCCCACTTGAGGGCGGTCAGCAGGGAGTCCCGCGGCTTGAGCTTGGCCGTGTCGGGCACAGCCACAGCGTGGTTCCTGTAGGGGATGAGGAAGGCCGAGTGCACCAGCCACCCCAGGGTGTGGTCCACCACCTCGTAGCCGGAGAAGCGCACATTGCCGCACTCGTAGCCGATGACCCACAGACCCAAAGCTGCCGTGCCCTGAGAATAAGAAACGCATTAAGGCAGGCACCCTTGTGTGTGTGTGTGTGTGTGAGGAGTGTGAGGGGTACCTGGACGAGGGCGTAGATGATCCAGACGGCCACTTTGACGGCGGCCATCCACTGGCTGGTCTGCGGGCCTTCCTGCAGGATGATGCTTGAGAAGACCCCCAGGCTGAGGTGGAGCACCGCCATGACCGACACCACCGCGCCGATGGCCACCACGTCACGCACAAAGGTGAACTGCATCAAACACACACACACACACACATCCATCCATCCATCCATGTGTGTGTGTGGTCTGGTATCTCACAGAGCTGAGTAGGAGTGAGGTCCTCTGGCAGTGTGGCGGGATGACCGACTGCAGGTCCTGCTCACTTGGGATCTGCACACAGCACACCGCGTTCACACACTCAGCAGCCTGTGTCTGTGTTGTGTGTGTATACCTTCTCGAGTGTCTGCTGCTGCGTCTCGGCTGACGTCTCGGCATTGACGGCGAGCTTGCTCTTCCGCTGCTCCCAGAACTTGGTCGCCCGCTTCCTGTCCGTCACCCAGCCAATGGCCGCCATGCTGTCGATGAAGATCTTCGCAGTGTTCCACTGACACGCCATCCCCAGCTCACTGAACAAGCACGCACACACGCTCAGGAATCATCTCACTGAGATGAGAGCTTCTCTTGACCTGGCGGCATAGTCGAAGGGATAGACGTGGTGCCAGTTGTGCCATCCCTCGCCGGTGGTGAGCCAGGCCACGAGAGCGCTCTCAGCGGGGTTGATCTGGTCGTCGTAGGGCCGCTCGCCCCACAGGTGGGCCACGCTGTTGACGCACCAGGTGGCGTGCAGCTCCACGATCCAGCGGAAGATGCCCAGCACGAAGAACCCAAGCCAGAAGCTCCCGTACACGGCCATCGTGTAGTAGCCAGGCACAACTGCACCCACCCACACAACAACACGACGCAGTGACGTGACGGGGGGAGGGGAGGAAGGTGGAGAATGGCGGTCGGTGCTCTGCTCACTGTAGCAGAAGAAAAAGGCGAGCCACGGGTCAGCGTTCTTCTGGAAGACCACCACGGGGTCCTGCAGCAGGTCTGAGCAGTCGATCTCGCGGCCCGCCTGCTTGACGGCGTCGGGCTTCTTGAGGATGAGCCACCCCATGTGGGAGTACCAGAAGCCGCGCTTGGCGTTGTGCGGGTCCTTCTCCGTCTCAGAGTGCTTGTGGTGCGTTCGGTGGTCCCGCGCCTGCACCCACCACATACACAGAGAGAGAGGGAGAGAAAGGTTGTGCACACACACATGGGGGAAATGGGTGTGCGGTGTCTCTGACCCAGTGGTAGATGGATCCCTGGTTGGCGATGGAGTTGAGGACCATGAGGACGATGCGGGCGGGGAGGTTGGCCTTGTAGCTGCGGTGGGCCCACAGCCGGTGGGCGCCAGCTGTGATGCCCAGCCCCGAGATGTTCCAGATGAGGATCACCTCGATCAGCAGCCGCACGCGGGACGGGTGGGCGAGCATCATCATCAGGCCCACCAAAGCCAAGAAATGCATCGTTGACAAAAACACGGTCATGCCGCTGCGCACGCTCTGAAGGACGAGAAGAACAAACATCGGTTTTAACACACCACACCAACACATGGGGGTGTGCCTCACTCATTCACTGACTCACCGGGACGTAGTTCTTGAGGTAGAAGTGTGCGAAGAGGATGGTGTATGAGAAGTACATGAGGAGTGCGCCCATGGCGTTGTTGTAGTGGGAGAGGTCGCCCGTCACCGCGGGGTTCAGCAACGCCGCGATCGTTATCGCCAGACCGACAAACATCTGCACATGCAGCGCACCACACACACATGGCATAAGCGTCGCGTGCGACGTGTGCTGTGTGTGTGGGGGCATCCCCCCTCCCTCACTTGGCTGAGCTGGGCGCCGGTAATGTATGGCCGCAGCTTATACAAAATCCTGACCGATCATCACAGTACACAGACAGACAGACAGACAGACAAAGATAGATGGCACGGATCTGTGTCGGTGGGAGTGTGTGTGTGAGTATATGTGTGTCGTTTACTTACTTGTTCCTAGCGAAAAGGACAGAGAGAGCGTAGTAGAGGTACATGACGCCGTGGATGCAGAGGTTGATGAAGACGAACAGGTGGGCGAAAGACACATTCAGCGACTGCGCGTGCCAGCAATACAGCGCCTGAGAGATAAGATAGGCCAGCACACCCATCACACCCATCACACATGACACAATTGATTGACACAGCCGGCCTGTCGGTGCTGACCACTGTGAGGTGGTGGTAGGCATGCAGGAACGTGATCGGCCGCTTCCGCAGCGCCAGCAGCACCGTGTCGCCGAACTCCAACGCCTTGGTCAAGGTGAACAGCGTCACCACTGCACGAGTGTTGGGCTGATCCATCACACAAAACACAGCGACACTCACAAGTGAGACACTGTCTTTCGCCGCATAGTGCGTGTGTCGGTCTGTCTCCTCCCTGCCCACCATGTAGTCCCTCTCGTGGGCAAACGGCGTCAGAATCAGCCGCCAGTCGTCCAGAAGCTGCACACACAGCACACAGCCAGCCCACACACACACACACACAAGGGAGACAGAACAGTCACTCGACACCGCCCAGCCCAGCCACCCCCCTGTCTCGTGTGTGAGTGCTGGCTGACGATGAGTATGGCTCCGAGGATGGAGAGGACGGCCAGCACGAAGTTCCAGGCAAAAATGAAGGGCTTGATGGGCAGCGGCTCCCGCTTCCTCATCCAGTGCCGCAGCGCCATGATGACCGGCAGGTACAGCACCATCGACGCCAGTAGCGGCCACTTGAGGTCTGCCGCCAGCTGTGCGCCGCGGCCGGGTGTCCAGTACCCCTGGCTCACTGGAGAGGGCGCCATGGTGGTTGAGATGTGCTCGGCCGAGAGGGAGGCGCAGATCCCCAGAGAGAGGACGGGGGGACAGACAGAGAGGAGGGAGGCACAGCCAAACACAAGAGGCAGAGATCCACGTTACCCCAGCTCGCAGATCTGCGAGCTGTCCTGTGCCCGAGAGACGGCGTGTTTGGAAGCTCTACTACCGCCTAACACCATGCTGTCATCGTTTCTTACCTTGGTCTCGGTTCTTGTGGTGGAATTCAGTGTGACGCCATGCAGCGGGTTCGTGCTGCTGAGGCGACCCTCTGCACGGCCGTCGTCGCGGGCAGGTCTGAAGATGCAGCTGCAGTCGGTGCAGCCACTAGAGAGGGAGATCCAGCGAGTGGAGGAGGACGAGGCCAATGCGGCGGCAGGGAGGAAGGTGAAGCATGTGCTGACGCTGATCCGGCATGGGCACTCGGTGTGGAATCAGGACAACATCTTCACCGGCTGGGTGAGCTGCTGTGCGGGCAAACCCACACATCAGTGCATGCACTGCTGTCTGTGAGTGACAGCTGTATGTGTGTGTGTGTGGTCGGTGACATCAGGTTGATGTGCCTTTGGCCAAGGACGGTGAAGCAGAGGCTCGCGAGGCGGGTCAGATCATGAAGGCGGCCGACATCAAGCCGGACAAGGTGTATGTGTCGGTGCTGAAGCGGGCCATCCAAACCACCTGGATCGCTCTCGAGGAGATGGACAGGATGTGGCTGCCGGTCGAGTGCAATTGGCGGCTCAACGAGCGGCACTACGGCGGCCTCAGTGGACTCAACAAAATCGAAACGGTGCAGAAACACGGAGAGGAACAGGTTAGTGAATGAGTGGAGGGAGGGAGGGATGGACAAGGGATGGAGGGAGGAAAAGGCAGCATGGGATGGAGGGTGTGTGTGGTGTGTGTCAGGTTCACATCTGGCGTCGGTCGTATGACATCCCACCGCCCCCTGTGGACAAACACAGCCAGTACTGGCCGGGACACGACGAACGGTGACTGAGTCAGTCAGTCAGCAGGCAGGGATGACACCACACGCGCCAGCCCAGCCATCGTGCACATGTTGGTTGTGTGGCTGCACATCATCTCATCCGTGTGTGCATGTGCAGGTACAAGTTGGTGCCCGAGGATGAGCTGCCGCTGAGCGAGTCCCTCAAGCTCACCAAGGACCGCTTCATGGTGGCCTGGCAGGGCAACATCGTACCCGACCTGATGGTATGGCCGGCCAGGAACCAACACACGCTCCAGTAGCTAGCTACTTTTGCCCTTGTGTTGCCCTTGTGTGGTCTCTTGTTTCATTCATTCAGGCGGGCAAGAGGCTGCTGGTGTCGGCACACGGCAACTCGCTGCGAGCACTCGTCATGCACCTGGACGACATCAGCAAAGAAGTCATACCCTCCCTCAACGTAGGCAGGCACACCAGCACAGCACTAAATGCTGTGTGCGCCTGCACCGGGAACGGCTCTTCATGTGTGTGTATGTGTGTGCAGATCCCGACGGGTGTGCCGCTGGTGTACTACCTGGACAAGCAGTTGAAGCCCCTGAGGCATCCCGACGCCATCGAGCCGCTGAGCGGGCAGTATCTGGGTGACCAGGAGAAGATCAAGGCTAGGATCGGCGCCGTCAAGGCACAGACGGGGGCCAAGTGAGGTGAGAGAGTGCGACGAAGCTGTGAGGGGGGTGGGTGGGTGGGGGGTGGTTAGTAGGGCACTGAGGCAGACTGTGGTGTGGCGTGATGGTGATGTGATGCGATGCGATGCGATCTGTTTGTAGAAGTGGTCGGTCAGTTTGTTGTGTGCGCATACGCCACGCCCCGCTGTTTTGCTGTTGGTGTTTTGTGTGTGTTGTGTGTATATATTGGTCTATCTAGTCTAGCGCTCAGGTAGGGGGGTATTTCTCGTGCTCCCGTCCCGTCCCATCCCTGCCTCGCCTCCCGGCCTGACAGCCTGCCTGCCTTTCGTGTCAATATGTGTGTTGTGTGATGGTGTCTGTGCTGTACGTGTCCCTCTCCCTCTCTCTCCTGGCGTGCGCCTTTTAAGTTTTCTCTTGTTTGAACGATCGCAGTTGGGGTGTCTGTCTGTGTCTGTGTATGTGGTGCGACCGAAGCTCAATCCTTCATCCATGGTGGTGCTCTGCTCTCGGTCCGCTGCATCTGTCCGTCTGTCCGTCCATCCCGTTACTCAAGGGGCCCACACACACACCAGCCCGCATCTGGCTCTACCGCCAAGTGTGGCCATCCCATCCCATTCCATCCCATGGATCGGATCCATATGTCGATCAGCCGTCCCCCGCCCGCCCCGCCATCTTATCCAGCAGGTCATCCTCAAACGACTCGCTCACCGCGCTGCCGTTCTCGCGCACAAAGGCCGCAGTCTGAATGAAGCACATGTGCAACACAGACACAGACACAGCATCATGGTCATTGTCCCCTTCTCAGATCTGCGTTGTGTGTGTGCCTGTGTGTGGGGCGAACGGACCTGGAGGACGTATGCGCGTGTGCCATGTGGCGGTTTGTAGTACCGCTCGCCCGCGTCCCCCTTGTCGAACATGTGCTGGCACCCGCTAATGTACACGTGCTGACACACACCACGCCACACACACAGCCCGGGACACACCGAGTACAGTCAGTCGCTTGCCCATCATATGCATACCTACCTGGCTGCCTTTGGCCACGGTGTTGAGTTTGAGGAAGGGCGCGCACTCCTCCGACTCCATGAACGCCAGCGCATCAGCGGGCGGCGAGCTCCAATCCGGCACGAACACTACAAACGACATCGGGCGGTCCTCTGACTCGGCACGCACCAGCAGCTGCACAGACACACATGAGGGATAAAAGGATGGAAATCCGGTGCGTGGGAGCGTTGCTCCGCCGCTACTGCTGCTGACCTTGTGCAGGTGTTTGGCGCATTCGAGCATCACCTCCTCGGTGTAGGGAGGGCCCACCTCAAACGAACCTGTCACACACACAAACACACAGAGGCAGGATGCGCACAAAATCGCACCACACAAGCGCCCACCACAAGCTCACCTGCTCTAGGGAAGAAGTCAAAGACGCTGCCCATGGAGCCGAAGAACCGGTCTGTGTCTGGGAAGGCCGAGCAGAAGCGGCGGAAGTAGCAGTTGAGTGGCGAGGCGAAGAACTCCATCCTGACGCCCAGCCGCTGATGCAGAAACAGGAAGACCGACTCGGGGGCCGCTGCGTGCATGTTGCCACCCTGACAGTGCTCCGAGAACGGATCTACGCCTGTGGAGAGGTGTCAACAGGCGTCTATCCATGTGTGTGTTTGGTTGGCTTTGCTGAGTGTGGTGTGGTGTGCGTGGGTACCGATGAATGTGATGTATCGCTGGAGCATGCAGAAGAGCCGTCGCGGGAAGAGGTCGCTCCTGGGGTCGGTCTGGGCGTTGTGGATGGAGTAGAGCCGCCGCAGCTTCTGGTAGTGCATCGCCGACAACGGCAGCGCTGCACACACCACACACCACACCACCCGGAGAGAGGAGAGGGCACACGTGATTCGATTCCCACCTCCCTCCATCCATCCCACTGCTCTGCATACATACTTGTGTTGTTGTACGTCACTTGATAGTAGGTCACGTCCCCCTGTCTGGCCTCCTCCACACGCACCCCGTCACGCCGCGCTATGCGCCCGTTCGCCCTCGCCAACACATCAGCAGCCCTATCGCCCCCACCACCACCCCCACCACCAGAACCAGAGCCAGGGCTGCTGCTGCCGCTCCCTGCCGCCTCTTTCTCCATCTGCTTGCGCTTGTGTGGTGGGAGGTAGATCTGCATCGGCTGCCGGATGGCGGGGGAGGGAGGGGTGCGGTCGTGGGCGTGTTCGCGGGCGGTGATGGCGGCGAGTTCTGAGCAGAGAGTGTGGCTCTTGGCGACGGTGCGGCGGACGACCTCCTGGACGAAGGGGTGGGTGAGCTGCCTGAAGAGCTGTGAGATGTTGTAGTGGACGTGCTTGCTCTTGTCCTGGTAGACGCAGGGGCCCGCCTCCCACTCGACGCCGTTGGGGCCGGTGCAGGGGAAGTCGCGGGGAGGATCGGCCAGCCGCACCCAACGGTTCAGACCCTGTGAGTACGTGAGTGAACACAAGGAAGGCAAAGCGTGATACTCATTCAGCCCAGACCGTCTGGTCTGCCTGGGTGTGTGTGGCGTACCTCTACTTCCTCCCTGAGCGACCGCAGCTTCTCCTTAGCATACTCGACGACCGTCTCGTCGCTCTGGCCGCCGTCGCTGCCCCCTGCCGCCTCCCCCATGCCCTCCCTCAGGTCCCTCATCCCCACCTCCCACTCGGCATCGCTCTCGCCACACGCGCCAACGCCACTACGAGCCGTCGGGGGGCCGCTCACATTCGCACTCGCACACACACTGGCCGTTGTGCTGGTGCTGTTGGTCGCCAGAGTGTTCTGTGGGGAGGGTGCGGTCAGTTGAGCGGCGAGGGCTGTGAGTTTCCTGTCGATGCGCGATAGCCAGGCGTTGGCGCGGCGGGCGTAGCGCTTGAGCTGCTCGCTGGCGTAGCTGCCGGTGGAGCGGAGCTTGCAGCGGAGAGGGATCTCGGCAAACAACTCGCGACGCAACGACTGAACACAACACACAAACAGACGGATGGATACACTGACAACGTCCCAATCTCTCTCTGTGTGTGTGCATACCTCGGACCTCAGAGCGAGATCCGGGTCGCGCAGCAGAGGGTCACGTGACGACGGGGAGGCGCTGCCATCGCTCTCCTGCGGCGTGGTGTTGGTGTTGGTGTTGGTGTGCGGCATGGCGAGCTGCTCGAGCAGCCAGCGGTCCATGGAGCCCTCGGGGGGATGCTCCAAGTACAGCAGCTGGGCACACAACGCGCGGTAGGTCTCGCGCAGATCCCTGAACTGAATAATGAGGGAGGCGTAGGAATACGCAAAAGGGATGCCAATGCACCATCTCGACACGTCTTACCATCTCTGCCCTTCTGACTTCGATGAGTGGCGTCGGTTCGAGCAGACTGTTGAGGTACGCCAGGATGCGTTCGCAGCCCTCTGGGATGGGCACATCCACACTGAAGTTCCACAGCGGCACACCTGCAGCAAACAAATATCACACACAGAGCCGTCCCTCAGGATGCATCCATCCATTCATTCATCCATTCATCTGTAAGATGTTCTCACCTCGCCGTGTGGCCGGTTGGTCATCATTGCTGACCTCTATGTGGCCGAACTCAGCCCTATCGTTATCCCTCCAGCTCCCGCTGCCGCCCCCCCATCCGCTGCCTCTGTGGTGACCGAAGCGACCTCTCGACATCCCAGAACGATCAACAAACCATTGGAGCAACCCTAGAGGCGCTTTCTACCTGCAGTTGTGCCTTGGTTGGTTGGTTATTGTGTTTAACGAGCCTCGTGTCTGTAACCCCGAGGGCCTTGGCAGTTGTGTTCTTCATCCCTGTGAAACACTTCAAGTTCACGGCGAGCTCCCCAACTCCTTGAGGCTTCCAGAGACGTTGACGCCTTCATTCTTGCCCAGATCTGCTTGTGCTTCGTCGACCAGTCGTTTCTCGTCTGACCCGTCAAGCCCCTCTCCTCTCCAACTGAACAGCGATGGCAGGCGTCCGGCAGACGATGAAGGCAGCCCAAGGTGGGATGAATGAATGAAGAAAGCATCTGCATCATCGTCCGTCCCACCGGCGCCTGCCTTATTGGGGTGTGCCCGGATGTGGATGTCTGTCTGATCAGTGCGTGAGTTTGGCTCCAAGTTGGAGATATGCGATGTGCCCATCCCCGAGCCGGGCCACGATGAAGTGCTGATCGAGCTCAAGGCCTGCGGCGTCTGCCACACAGGTTGAGTGGGGGCGGCAGAAGGATGATTTAAGCTCTCTTCTCCACTCGTTGTGTGTTGTTCTTGCCTGCCTGCCTGCCTGCCTGTCTGCCTGTGTGTCCTGTGTGTCCTGTGTGTGTGTGGGTGCAGATCTGCACGTGGTGGACGGCGATTGGGAGGTCAAGGCCGACCTGCCGCGCACTCCTGGGCACGAGGGCATCGGGGTGAGTGACGACAGACACACCGACACATCTCTACCTGGGTCAGAAGGGTGGTCCTGATGCTTGGGTGTCTGTCTGATTTGTTGGGTCGTTGGGTCGGTCAGCATGTGGTGTCGGTAGGCTCCTCCGTGACCAATGTGAAAGTGGGGGAACGGGTCGGTGTCCCCTGGCTCTACAACACCTGCATGGCCTGCCGTGACTGCCTGGGGGGAAACGAAAATCTATGCGCCAAGGGGGTGGGCAACGGGGGCACGGATAAGAAAGAAAGAAACACACACGCACACATGGCCGATGGATGGATGCTCTCATGGGATCTCATCCACTCCCTGGTGTGCTGTGCTGCCTGCAGCAACAACAGGCCGGCTTCTCAGTCAACGGATGCTTCGCCGAGTTCGTTGTCGCCAAGGGACTCTTCGTCGCCAAGTAACAGAGGCCGACTATGCCGCGGCATCATGCTGCGCTGCATGCTTGGCATCTCCGTGGTGTAGAATCCCCGCCAAGCTGAGTGACATCGAGGCTGTCCCCATCATGTGTGCGGGGGTCACAGTATACCGTGGGCTCAAGGAGACCAACGTGAAGCCTTTCCAGACCGTCGTCATTGCTGGTGCTGGTGGTGGACTGGGCCACGTGGCGGTGCAGTACGCCAAAACCATGGCCTTGGTGGGGTGCCTTTCCACACGAGTGTTCCATTGGTATGAGTGCATTTTTGTGTGTGTGTGTGTGTGTGTGGTGCAGAGAGTCATCGGCATTGGTGAAGAACAGCACCGATAGCCACGTGTTGGTGTTGTGTGTTATGCGTAGGCCTGTGTGCTCGCCCTGTGTGTGTCAGACGGTGGCGATGAGAAGATGAAGCTGCTCAAAGACCTCGGCTGCGACGAGACCATCGACTTTATGCAGGTCAAGGACGTGCCGGCGAGGGTGCTCGAGCTGACCCACGGCGACGGTGCTGAGGGCGCCCTGCTCGTGGCCGCCTCGCCCAGAGTGTTCTCACAGGCCATCGAGTGAGTGTGTGAGTGGAGGAACTGAATGGCAACATCACAGCAGCTGGAATGAACGCTTATCTGCGGCTGTGTGTAGATACCTGCGACCTGGAGGCACTGCTGTTGTCATTGCGCTGCCGCCGGGGACCTTCCCGACGCCCATCTTCAAAACCGTCCTCAAGGGACTGAACATCAAGGGCAGGTGCGTGTGCCAGTAGGGAACACCACAGGACACCCCACCTGCTCGCCATCAAACACCGTCTGCTGTCTGGTTGTTGTCCATCAGCATCGTGGGGACACGCCTCGACCTGCAGGTCAGTCAGGAGATGAGTGAGATGAGCCCCACTCAGCCGTGAATTGTCGGGCTCTGTGTGTGTGTGTGTGTGTGTGTGTTGTCCGGCTGACCCCAACATATACCATTCATTCAGGAGGCGCTGGATTTGGCGGCGAGAGGCGGAATCCGCGCCCACATCGAGACCAAGAGGCTCAGCGACGTCAACGACGCCCTGGACATGCTGCGGCAGATGAAAGTGAGCGGCCGACTCGTCCTTGACTACACCACGTGAGCTACCGAGAGGCCTGCGCTGACGACATTGAAGCATTTCCAGGAGTGGCTGTCGCATGCTTGGGCGGGCTGGGCGGGGCTTGTAAGTGCTTTACTTGTGTGAATGTCTGTCTGTCTGTGTCTGCACGTGTGTGTGTGTGTGTGTGTGTGAACGTGCTCCTGCCTGCCTGCCTGTGCATTTGGGTGTCTTTTTCTTGGCACGTGTATCCAATTAAGCGGTGCTGGCAGGTAGGTAGGAAGGCAGGCAGGCAGGTGCGTGTCAGCGTGCGTCTTTTTAGCCCGATCGAAGAGGCTTTGGTCGTCTGAGACAGGACGGCCTTTAGCTGTTGAGTGAGTGAGTTGTAAGTCAGTGTTTCTGAAGGAAGGGCATGCAGACTGAAGCAGTCAGTGGCGGGGTGTTTTTTTTGGTGGTTGTAGCAAGCAGTGTATTCAGTCCATCGCGCCATTGGCTGGCGTCTTTTTCTATCTAGCGTTGCTCCGCTCCCTGCAGGCCTGGTTGCCTGTCTTTGCTATGTATGTTAGCATGCGAGAGACCGTGCGACTGTCTGTGGTGTGAGGGGGGGACGCTGCCGGGTTGGTTGGGTGTGGGAGAGTGTAGGAGTGTATGATGTGTTGCATCGCGCCATTGGCGTTGCTCTCTGTCTGTCTGTCTGTCTGCCTGTTTTCCTAAACATGCGAGAGACCCGTGCGACTGTCTGTGTGTCCGTCGATGAATGTGTGTCGGCCGATTCACCGTTCATCGAGATGTGCACGGCTGTTGGAACCAATACTGCATGACATGAATTCAATTCATGGTGGTCAGGTCAGGGATGCATTGATTGTCCATGGGAGCGTACAAAGTGTGGCATACGAGTCAAAAATGCATGGCCATGGATGGGCCACCCGGGCATGCGAAGTTCACACCGATGAACGCACTCGCAGCCAGGCAATCGACAGGTCATTCGATACGCAGGCAGGTAAATCAGTTGCGGTCTGTGCACCGTCTGGCGCTTGCTATGTTGAATCCTACAAAGTGTAATCATCTCACAGCCACGTACTCAGCTTCTAACCTGCACACTGACTGACCCCATCGGGCATGGCATGCGTGCAGGATTCCCCTCCCCTCTCTCTCGATGAAAATGCACCGACAGTAAGAGAGACAGACGACGTCTGTGGATAACGTCGTACGAACATGATGTGATGCATACATCTTTCTCTCCATTGAAGGCACAAATTACATGGAAGCACCATACATGCGAGAGACACCCAAAACACACATGCGCAGGCGTGTCATCTGTCCTCTCTCCACAGATGCCTGCTCATCTCTCTATGTCTGCAGCACCGCACCGCCCTTGCTCTTGACCTTGGCCTTATACACTTGCTTCTTGACGCGACGAGCGTCACTTGCCTCCTCCTCATGTTCACCAGCAGCAGCAGCAGCTGAATGGCCAAGACACACACATATACATGGGCATACGCGTGTGAGCCAATGCGTGGATGAATGTGTGTGTCAGTCTGTATGCATCTCTTCTGTCTCACTTGAGCGGCGTCGGCGACAAGGGCAGCTACGTGTACAGCGGCCGCAGGTGCCTCTTCCTCGTCCTCCTCTTGGCCACCACGGCAGCAGCAGCCTCCTCCCCAGCGCCTTCCCCAGCCTCAGCAGCATGCGATACAGCGGCGTGAGCGTTTCCTTGCTGTGTCTATCTGCGGGGGACATGTCGATGTCGGGTGGTGTGAAAGGCTGCTGCTCCTGCTGCTGGTGATGTTCAGATAGAGCTGGGGGTTGCAGGAGTGGTGCGCGAATGCCTTGTATCTCCTCCTCCATCTCGGCATCAGCTGTCGTCATGTGGCCAAGCTTGGGTTTCTTGGTGGATGGAAACTCCTCCTCCTCGCGCTGGCGTTTATGGCAAAGAGACTCTTGGGGAGGGACAAATGGCGGGGCGGCGGGGGTTGCTGCTGCTGCTGCTGCTGCTGCCGCTGTTGTGCCAGCAGGGGGCGGTGCGAGAGGAGACGGAGGAGACGCCGGAAAGAGAGACCTCCAGTCGCCATTGTGGGCTTCCTGACGCGACACGTAGTCATTCTCTTTTTTGTCATCTCTCATCCATCCATCCATCCGTTCAGCAGTCTCTCCTATCCCGGGCAGCTGCTCCTGCTGTGGGTGCTGCTGCTGCTGTGGCTCGTCTTTCTCCTCTTGCTCGTCGGTGTATAGCGGCTGGCCCGGTGGGGGAGCGAAGGGGCCGGGAAGGGCTGGTGGGGAGACACCGCAGCTTGGTCCATAGAAGGGGCGTCTTGCTCCTCTTGCTCGATCCTTTCGTCCTCATCCGGCTCCTCTTCCTCGCTGTCCTCGTAGGTGTCTACCGGCTGACCCTCATAGCCCTCCCTCTCGCCACCAACATCCTCAGGCTGAGGCGGGGGTGGGTAATTCAGTGAGGCGACAGATGCCGCTGCAGCAGCAGCAGCAGCAGCAGCAGGGTGTGGCACGGCAGGAGGCGCCACGAATACAGATGCGGCAAACTTCTCGGCTTCGTCATCCTCTGCTTCCTCGTGGCCCTCTTCACTTTCCTCCTCGCTGCCCGACACTTCTTCCCATCCACTTCTCGGCGCACCAGAGTACTGGAAGGGCGTGTCACTGACAAACGAACAGACGACACAATGAAGGACAGTGATTGGTTGGCAAGTAGGTGCCTAGGTAAGTCTTACGTGGATTGCGAGCATGCGGTGACAAGTTGTTGGTGCTGTTGGAGAGCCTGCTCTGCTTTCCCTGGATCTACCTCATGAGAATAGACACGTTGAGTGGGGGTGTACATGAGGGCTTTGACATGAGCCGCCACGCTTTGCGCCAGGGGGGATAGCGCGTTACCGCGAGTGCTATATCCACCCTCCAGAACCGACACTGATGGATTGATACATACACAAGCAAGGCGTGCATCGCGAGTGTGGGCCTTCTGTTTCTGCTGGTCGTCGCCGGCCTACCAACTCTGGCATTGCTGTTCTCGTTTGCGATGGTCATCAGCTTTTGGGTGGCCCACTCATAGTCCCATTCAGATAAGATGGACCGCCTGCCGCCGCCCAGGTCATCTCTCTTATGACCATCGAAGCCCGCTGAGATGAAGATAATGTCTATACACCACACAGAGGCGGAAAAGAGGAAGAATGAAAGACTTCCTGTCGTCGCTGTCTGTCTGTCTGTCTCTGTCTTTTGTCTGTCTGTCTCTTTGTCTTACCTGGTTTAAACTCCCTGAGTGGCTGCAGCACTTTGGTCTCAAAGTGAAGTCTGAACCCGAACACCTTTTCCCTTAAGGCATGCGTCGTCCGCTCCTCCAGCCAGTGTCGCGCCATCCTCTCTTCACCAGCATTCTCCGCCTCCCCCTCATCAGCGTTCCTCACCGCCCCCTCAGGCCGCTGTGGTGCATCAATCTCCTCAAGGCCGGCCAGCTTGCACATCTCCGGCCGTCTCTGCTGGTCGTAGATGTTGGTGCAGTGCCTGATGGGCCGGAGGGGTACATTGATGACGGTAGGGGAGGGCCGAAGAGCTGGCGAGTCAACACGGTCGCTGCCGCCCTGCGCCTCAGGGAGGTCATGGGTGGGGCCGCCAGTCCCAGGATAGAATTCCGTCGACGGATCGTAGACTGAACAAAGAGCAAAAGGCACCGGAGACAGACCAATCAGATGGTGATGCTGTGGCTTGCTTGTGCGCTGCGGTTACCATGTATCGATGCGAAGAAAAGGTTGGATGTATCCGTCTCATCAAGCCACATCTGGACGGCGTCTTCCGTCAAAGTGAGGCCTTTAGCCTGCACAAACCGACCTGAACCAACTGGGAACGACACCTGCACACATCCATCGCAACAAGACGAGATAGCGACGGATACAGTGAGGGTCAATGAAATGTTCGTCCTGGCTACGAGGGAGGATTGAGTTGAGCTCACCTGGTGTTGCCTGACACGTCTTCGGACGTTTCGCACGATGATCTCAGTTCCATTGCCGTGGTGGACGTCGAAGTCCACGATAGCTATCCGCTCCACACCTACACATACACTCACGCACATACATACATACATACGGGTGATCACAAAAGTTGAGAAGCGTACCCCGCCTCCAGTGGAATGCGCGGGCGTACGCGGCCCCGATGGCCACATTATTGAGCAGGCAGAAGCCCTGGCTGCCCGTACTGCATTCAGTGATACAGGCACAAACATCCATCCATTTGCCCATTGTCTGTGGTTGGTATTGATTCATACATGCGGTCTTCGTCCTCTGTGTCCTCGACATTAGCCCCTGCTGGACCCAAATGATGACCCGGCGGACGGACTGCACACAGCAAGCAAGGAGGAACAAACAATTTGCATTCATCCACGAATGGATGGCATGTCTCCTTGTACTGGCGCAAAAGGCATTTCTGATGTTGGTTGTTGGGTCCATGACCTTATCCACCTGTATATTACGGCACATGACTTAAGTGAGCTTTAGCCTTTTAGGGGAAGTCTCTAACTATAGCGTTCTGCAACAACCTACCGCATCAATGACCGCACCCGCAGCACACATGGCCGCATTGAGCGAGTGGGAGCTCAACGGAGTGTCTTTGTCGAAATCTGCATGAACAACCATACAGCACACAGAGGAAAATGTACGGTTGCCAAGGCTGTTGCTGTCGGTGTGTGCGGTGTGACATTCTACCTGTCCGACCACCCAAGTGGTCACGAAGCTGCTGGGTGCTGACGGATGAAGAAAAAGAGAATAGGTGCGTATGTTCATTGCTTTCTTTACGTCTCCTCGCTGTTGATGGCTTACGCTTTTTTGAGGCTGTCGACGTATTTGAGTTCGTGCACGCGGAGGATGTCTGCCAGACGGACGGGTGGCGGGTCACTGGTGAACACGGTGCTCTGGAAGTCGGCCGTGCGCAAGACACCGAGCTGCTCCTTCACCAACACCTGACGGCAGATACAATACTCAGTCATTTGTCGCTGTCTGTCTGTCTGTCTGTCTGTGCTGTCTATCTTACCTCCATTCTTGTGGCATTTTCCGGCGTGTCACTGATTTGCTGAAGCCGCGTACTGGGGTCGTCCGACGGCTCGGGCAGCTCCAGATGCTTGCTGCACACAAATGCATGCACCCAGAGCGACAGTCGATATAGCCGCATCATTTTAGGGGAGCTTACGGGCACTCTGGATGGGTGATGATTGCAGTGCGGAGTTTGGTGGGGATGCCCGACTCTGGGTTGCTCCCTGCCCCTTCCAGCAGCAGAGGGCCGTCCTGCCGCAATTGGCACACCTTGGACTCGATCATTGACATGAGACAATCGGAGGCTCCCTTTCCAGCTGATTGACCAGCTTCAGCTGCCCCTTGCTGCAAGACGCCAATGACGTGGTCGAACTCATCTTGGTAACCACAGTGCAGAGCTGCCTGGCGAAACTCATCCATCATTTCCTGAACACATACATGTCCAACAACAGGAATCACAGTGAGGGCGCCAAATCAAAGTATCTGCTCCTCACGGCCTCCACCTCCTGCTCGCGCAGGGCGAAGAGCATCAACAAGGCCATCAAACAACGCCACGCACCCCTGTTGACCACAAATGGGTCAATCAAGCAGTCAGTTGGCATCCATGAAATATTCACGTGCCATGTGCCTCATCATCGTTATCTTGCCTTTCGATGGCTCTGAGTATGTGCGCCTTCGTAACTTGGATGCCTCCCCCCGTCACGAGCGCCTTGACGCACATCCATGCACCCGATGTCCGCGAGTCAATAGCGTAGTCAAGCGCCAGGTTGCCGTGGTAGTCCTGACAAACAGAACACGACACAACACAACACAATCTCATCTGATCTGGCTTCATGCACTTTGTTTTCATACCGGTACGTCGGCCTCGACGTGCTTGATCAAAAGTTCCACGATGTCTGCGGCGCCGACCTGGGCAGCCCGGTGCAGGACAGTACAGCCGTTGTAGTCTCTGGCGTTGCACGAAGGGCTGGGGTGCTCGAAAGCGATCAACAATTGTAGGCACTTCAACACATCGGCGCGGCACTCCTCGAACCCTGACAGATACATACACAGATACGTGCACCCAGGCAATTCATGCCAGGTACCCGTGTCATGTCATTCCCTCCTTTTCTGACGCACCAGCCATTGCCAGAGGAAGAATGATGGTGGGTATGTTGTTGTAGCCCCCTTTCAGACTGAGAATGTCCTCGTCCAGCCACTGGCACGCCCCCTTGCCCTTGCCCTTGCCCTTTCCCAGGCCGCCGCTGGTATCGATTTGGGCCGCACGAAGGACCTCTACTGCTGCGCCCATGAGCGCCTCGAGAAACTTGGGCTTGGCGTGCAATAGACACAACTTGGCCGGCGGCAGCTCAGCGCGGTCCGCACCGTCACCCACAATTCCAATACCTGCAAACAAACAGACGACGAAGATAAGAAGACCCGTGTCTCTGTGAGTCGTGCTTTTTTCCCTTCCATTATGAGATTGGTAATGTGGCAGCCCGAGTGCTGTCTCGAAGTCCTCGAAGTTGTCGGAGTATATCGTGTCGCCGAGCTCTCGTCCGTGGATGAATCGAAGTTGTCTCGCGTGAGGAACTGGAGCACGATGTCGTCCTCAGTGATGCCACTGGCGGTGTCGTCGAAGAGTCTGCGGCCGGGTGGGGGAGGGATGAGGCTGGGAAAGGGCTGGTGGGGAGGCATCTCATGTTCCATGGGAGAGGTCTCCTCCTCCTCCTCCTCTTCCTTGATGCTCTCGTCCTCCTCCTCCTCCTCCTCTTCCTCCTCTTCCTCCTCTTCCTCGATGCTCTCGTCCTCCTCCAGCTCCTCTTCCACGTTGTCCTCGTGTGTGTCTGGCGGCTGGCCCTCATAGCCCTCCCTCTCGCCACCCACATCAGGCGGAGGCTTGTGCTCCTCCTCGCCCACATCCTCCACCTGCTCATCCTGGACAGCCTCGTCCACGATCTCGCCACTCGGGTGGTCCACTACTGGCGCAGCCGCCTCGTACTCGACATCCATTAGATTCTCCTCACTGGTGCCCACGTCTGCATCCATGTCCTGTTGGGGTGGGACTTCAGCATAAGCCGCCTGGTTCATCATGCTTCCAGCAGCAGAGGGCGTGGGGGACGATTGCGGCGGGGGAAGCGGGGGGGGCTCATCGCAATCGAAGAACTGCTCAGAATGTTGCCTGCTGGCCATCGGAGAGGAGAAGTTGTGACCCATCTTTCTTCTGGAGCGATGAGCAGCGCGAGACTGCAAGCTTGGACCACTCCCCCTGCAGAGATCTGCGACTTGTTGAGGCCGCAGGGTGCTGGCAGACGCACCTCAGCCGCTGATCTCTGCCTTACTGTCCTCAATTCGTCTCTAATGTGTTTCGCTTCGGGCTGCGGTGCTGTCTGAGGTGGCAGGAGGACCGCCGGTACGACTGCTGATCACACAGGGACCATTCGAATGACACACTGGCGAGAGGGGCTATCAGCGGAGGCAGGAACGTTGCGCATCTGACGAGGGAGGGTGACGAAGGCGGGGGCTCTGCTTGAGCTGAAAGATCTACCGGTGAGGCACTGAAAAGGACCACAGTCCGATGCATCATCCACTGCTACTCTTTTCGTTTGTTTCGGTTCGGGTGCGTCATTCAGGTTGTCCCTTCACACCAACCGATCCAGCGATGAGCGCGGCTTTCAGCTCCCACCCGCAGGCGCACACGCCCTCCTCTGCCTCCCCGGCCCACATGCACACCCCCACTGCATCCACCCCCATGAACGTCGACAGCACACACCAGGTCGTCGCCAGCCATCAGCAGCCGGTGGCAGGCAACGTGCCGCGGATGGACAGGGCGGGTTCCAGTGAGAGCAATACGGTGTCGAGTGGGGGGCGGTCGTCGAGCATCGCCAGCCGCAAGTTCACTTCCCGTCCCGGCATCATCGCCGAGCCAAAACGCAGCCTGCTGGTCGACACTCTGGGCGAATCGTCGCCTGCCCGCCCCCCCATCCCTCTCAACCACACTGCGTCCACCGCACCGCCACCACGACCACCACTACCAAAAAAGAGCGGCTGTCCGTCCGACTACTCGATGTTGCTCTCCAACCCGGAGCCCATCTTCCGCCGCTCGCACAGTGGGCTGCAGTCACACCCGCCGCTTCCCCCACTTCCCGTGCTCGCCAAGATGCACCTGCACCCCTACCTGGCTTTCCGGGCGCCCGCAGCATGTCACACGAAGCCGGCCGCAGCAGGAGAGGGAGGGAGAGATGGCAAGGCTGACCGGACAAAGAGGCGGCTGCAGCTGGAGTTGAGGCGGCTGGGCGGTGACGACGTGCCGTCCATCAAGAAGGAGCCGCCGCGTGATCGCGTCAAGAAGGAGGGGAAGCGAGAGGCCAAGTGGCGGATCGGGGAGGCCAACCGCCCACGACTCATCCAGACATCCACCCCGTAGGACAGACACGCAACGGCAATACCCATGCATACGCACATCGCTACCTGTCTGTCTGTCTGTCCTTCAGTCCCCACATTGTGCCTCTCGCCTCCCCCTCCATCCTCACGCCCACCTCGCCATTCGGCCCCTTCGACCTCTCCCCCCCGCCATTGGCATTCTCATCACCCACCCAGTGGCCGGCTGTGACGCGCAGCAAGCGCACCAGCATCAAGAGGAAGCCCCCGGTGCGGCAGCGTCTGCGCAGAGAGGACGGCTGGCAGGATGTGTATGAGGGCAGTCACGCTGCCGAGAAGGGGTGGCTTGCACATGCTTGCGGCGAGGATGAGTCGTCTCTGAAGGTCCGTCGCGGTGTGCGGTGGACGGAGCTGTCGCTGTTTGTGCGCGTCCAGAGCTCGGCGAATGAGGTCACCCTGGTGCACATCCCTCCCTGCAACCAGTCGTTCGAGTAAAGACATACGGCGAGAGAAACATGACGAGGTCGGCCGTCAGATGGCGGAAGTGGAGACGAGGGTGCAGCAGCAGGAAGGCAGCGAAGGATCCGCAGCGCCTGCTGCTGCCCCCTCGTCTCCATGTCTACTATCATGCGGTCGACCTTGATCTTACTGCACTGTCCTGTGGCATGTGTATGTGTGTGTGTGTGTGTGTGCTGTGGTGGTTGGCGTTTTGGGTTGGGTGCTGCTGCCTGTGTTGGTGTTTTGCGTTTTTGCGGCTACGTGCATGTGTGTGTAGTATTACTGTCTATTTGGATACCATACAATTCGACCTCCCGTACTTGGGGAGGGGGAAGGGGAGGGGGCTGACTGCTGACAGACAGAGACAGAGACAGAGAGAGAGAGAGAGAGAGAGAAAGGCAGACAGACAGAGAGACAGAGATGAAAGAGACAGGCTGTCCGTTGAATCATGGCAGCATCCGGGTGTGACGCAAGACAGACGAGATCGGCCAGCGTCACGCATCTGTCTGGTCAGAGTTGCGTGTCACGAGTGTGTTGGTTAGTTAAGCCGCAAGTGTGACATCGTGTGCGCCGCTCTGAGTGAGTCGGTTGGCCAGAGTCTGATAGATAGTGCCCTATGAGTCGAGCGAGAGAGAGCCAGCAGCGAGAGAAAGATGGAGGATTTGAGTCTTATCGTAATTAAGCCTGTCTTCTGGATGGGAGGGGATCTTGTGCGTGGGTGCGTCTGATGGCCCACTTGGACTACAAAAGGGACATAACAGACAGATGAATCCGAAATATAGTGTCACGCAGAAGCTCGTTCTTCCTTCTCAAGCACACATATGCTGGCAAACCTATCCACCCAAAGACAGCCCAATATGAGGGATTGGCTGATGTTGACTCATCTGCTTGAGCACAAAGGCCCGAAGGCTTACGGATCGATAGTGTCACAAGGCCCTTACAGGGGTCGGTCATCATTCTATCCTATACACACCAACCAATGTCGACGCCTCTTTCTTGCTTCCCCTGCACACACCCCACCACGGAAGCGACAGATACGGAGCAGAACGTGTCCCCTAGCAGAAGCGTCCGGAAGAGGTGTACAAGAGGAATCAAGGAAAAGTGCGTACCACCTTGGCGAGACAGACGCTCACACGACACAAAGACTACCTCCAGCTAGCTATGGTCTTGTCTCACACTTGCATGGGATAGCCCACACGCGACACGACAACAAGAACACCACGATAAAAACCACGGTCACGGGGGGCACGCAGCGCGCAACATCATCATTCAGCAGTAATGGCTGCCTTTTCCTCCTCTCCCTCTTCCTCTGGCTGCATCGCCCCCTTCTCCACCGTGAAGACCAGCCTTGTCGGGGCCCGGTACTTTTCGATCGACTCGAGGGTGCCGTTCCACGTGCCCTCTGCATCGCTCTCCACCTGCACTCTGTCGCCCTCTTTCGCCTCACCACGCAGGATCAGAGACGCAATGGGGTTTTCCAGCTCACGTTGAACCGTCCTGCGATAGACAGACAGACAACGGGATGGATGGCAGAGAGCCTTTGACAGACAGACAGACAGACAGACAGACACATGGATGGATACACGTATGGCTATTTGCATACCGACGAAGCGGTCGGGCACCGAACTGAGGGTCGAAGCCTCTGGATGCGAGGAAGCTCTTTGCCGCATCGGTGACCTGCAGACCGATACGACGGTCGGACAGCCGATTAGACACCTGCAACACACAGAGAGCACAATGAGCAGTAAGCGCACACCAATGCACCCATTCATCCACTGCTGACATATACCCTACCTTGTTGAGCTCCAGGTTGACGATGTTGCGCAGCTCACGGCGGCCAAGGGCGCGAAACACCACAAACTCGTCAATGCGGTTGACAAACTCGGGTCTGAACTGGGCCCTCACGGCCGTCATGACTCGCTCCTTGATCTCCTCCTGGACGGTATCGTCGGCCTCGGCCTCCCCGGCCAGCTCCAGGATGGACGACGAGCCGATGTTGGACGTGAAGACGCATATGCAGTTCTTGAAGGACACCGTGTTGCCTTTGCCGTCGGTCAGGATGCCGTCGTCAAGCACCTGCACAGGGAGATCGTTCAGACATGTGTGGCCGGATGAGGTGTGATGTGCTGTGTTCGTCGGTGCACCTGTAGAAGTATGTTGAAGACGTCTGGATGCGCCTTCTCCATCTCGTCGAACAACAGCACCGAGTAGGGTTTCCGCCGGACGGCGTCGGTCAGCTGCCCGCCCTGATCGTACCCCACATACCCAGGCGGCGCTCCAATCAACCGCGACACCGTGTGCTTCTGCATGCCCAGCAATACACACACACGACAGCATCATAGACACGCTTTCTCCCTTGTCTCTTTCTGCCCGTTCTGACCTCCATGTATTCGCTCATGTCGATGCGGACCATGGCGTCAGGGGACGAGAAGAGCGACTCGGCCAGGGCCTTGCACAGCTCCGTCTTGCCCACACCAGTGGGGCCCAGGAAGACAAGCGAAGCGATGGGGCGGTTGGGGTCAGAGAGGCCGGCCCGTGACCGCTGGATGGCCTCGGCAGTGACCCTGACTGCTTCCGCCTGCCCCACCACCCTCTTTTGCAGGATATCATCAAGCTGCAGAATCCTCTCGCGCTCAGAATCAACCTGACCAACGACAGAACAGTCCACATGGTGTGTTCATATTCAAATTTCATATCTCACATAGTACCAGTTTGCTGACGGGTATTCCTGTCCAACTCGAGACGATGGCAGCGATGTCCTCCGGCACCACCTCGTCACGCAACATGCGGTTCGGCCCTGCGCTGTACTGACGCTCCAGCTCTGCCAGCTTCTTCTGCAGCTCGGGGATGCGACCGAAACGGATCTCAGCCGCCTTATTCAGGTCATAAGACCTGCAGACGAGAGGAGGAGTATGTGCATAGTGAGTACGCATGCGTGTGTCCTCTGATCGCTTGCCTTTCGGCCTTTTCTTGCTCGAGCTTGGCTTCATCCAGTTGCTGCTTGATGGACCGGAGGTCCGTGATGGCCGCCTTCTCGCCCTCCCATATCGCATTCAGACGAGACTGCTCCTCCTGACGAGTGCATGAAGACAGAGCGAAGGGCACAGACGCTTTTCCTTTTATGTCTTTTGCTCACTTTGAGGTCAGATAGCCTTCTCTCGAGCTGTGCGAGCCGGGCCCTCTCGTGCGGCGCCAGAGTGGACGCCTCGCTGTCCTCCTTGATGCTGATCCGCTCCATCTCCAGCTGCACTATCTGGCGGTCAATCGCGTCAAGATCCTCTGGGCGGCTGGTCACCTGAACGTTCAGCACAACATGACTTCAGCACATGTGTGTGAGCGGGTACTGTGTGCGTACCTGGACTTTGAGTTTTGCGGCGGCCTCGTCGACGAGGTCGATGGCCTTGTCGGGCAAGAACCGATCGCTGATGTATCGATTAGCGAGATTGCTGGCGGCCACCAGGGCCGAGTCGCGGATGCGCACACCATGATGCATCTCATACCGCTCACGCAAACCTGATGTATCGCACAGATAGAGGTAGTTAACAACAGATCCATAGAATGGAAATGTGTCTGTCACCTCTGAGTATGCTAGTGGTTGCGTCCACGGCCGGCTCGTCCACATAGACGGACTGGAAGCGGCGGGCGAGTGCTTTGTCCTTCTCGATGTACTTGCGGTACTCATCCATGGTCGTCGCCCCAATGCACCGCAGCTCGCCGCGTGCAAGCATGGGCTGACCAACACAGACAGACAGACAGACATGCTGGTATCATATAAGAGTGAGCAGATGGTTTGGTTGCACTAACCTTGAGTATGTTGCTTGCATCCATGCCGCCCGACTCGCCGCCCCCGCCAGCCCCCACGACGGTGTGTATCTCGTCGATGAACATGACGACCTGCCCCTGGGCGTCACTCACCTCCTTCAACACGCCCTTGAGCCGCTCCTCAAACTCGCCACGGTACTTGGCACCTGTATAGAAGTGTATATGCATCGGTCAGAGCGCGCGCGTGTGCGCGCGCGTGTGTGTGTAGGTGTGTGCACCTGCGATCATGGATGCCATGTCGAGGGCGATGAGTCGTCGGCCTTTTAGTGAGTCGGGGACGTCACCGAGGAGGATCCGCTGCGCCAGGCCCTCAGCGATGGCCGTCTTGCCCACACCAGGGTCACCCAGGAGAATCGGGTTGTTCTTGCTACATGGACAGTGAGCAAAGACGGGTTATCTAATGAGCCGAAATGGACCGTGTTGTCTGCTTACGTGCGTCTGGAGAGAATCTGCACCACCCGCCGGATCTCCTCATCACGCCCGATCACGGGGTCCAGCTTGCCCTCGCTCGCCAGCTGAGTCAAATCCCTGCGCCGACACAGCTCATTCATGCCAGAGAGAGCATCAACACCTGTCAGTGTGTGTGCCTCGATTCGTACCGGCCGTACTTCTCCAGTGCCTGGTATGATCCCTCGGCCGTCTTGGTCGTCACGCGACGAGAGCCGCGCAGCTGGCTGACCGCCTGAAGGAGTGCCTCCGGCGTGATGCCCTGGTGCTGCAGAGCCTCTTTTGTGAAGCGAGTGTCGGCCTCGGCTAGCGCCAGCAGCAGGTGCTCAACAGAGATATACTCGTCTGTGAAGCGGCCCTTGATTGACTTGGCCGTATTCAAGACCTGCCCACACACACACACTTTTCCACATTCCTCCTTCAGTGACAGACCTCCCTCACCAACTCACGTTGATGAGAGACCTTCCAACCGGCCTGTCTGACGCGCCGCGTGCTGTGGTGACCCGCGGCTGCTTCTCGAGAAACTCCTTGAGCTCTCGCAGCAGACGGGCAATGTCGGCACCACCTAATGGCAGAAAGACAAATGCATCAACCCTTTCCTTGCCCACCGGTCCGCCAACTCACCCTTGAAGAGAATGCGCTGCGCCAGCCCATCTGGTCCCTGGTTGAGCAAGGCTTGCAGCAGCAGCTCCGCCTCAGCAGACGGCGGCTGATACCTCTCTATCAGCGGAATGACCTCTGTGATCGCCTCCCAGGCCTTCTCAGTATAGTCATTGGCATTCAGAGAGACCGACCCGCCGCCCGGCGGCCCCTCGGCGCTCGATGAATAGCCCCGACAGCCGCTTGGTGGACCAGACGCATTGTGCCGTGTTGTCGACCGCCATGCCGACTCATGGAACGGCCACGCATTTCCGTTGGTGAAGTCGCTGCGTTGAGATGGATGGGACGTGGCGAGGCATCTGGATGCGGACAGCAGCCACGGGCGCCGACTGTGGGATACCCAACTTCTGCAGATGGGATACGTGTTTTGTGCAGAGATCTTCAGTCTTGACAGCATGACCACCCCATAGAAAGCAGAACAGTGATGTTTTCTCTCCAAGATCCCCGGGCTTAGCTCGCACAGATTGATTAGGGCAGGTTGTGTTAGACGAAAGATCTGAATCTTTCTCAGATCTGCCGTCTGTTCTCTCCTCCTGTCGCGTGTCGCAGTAGCCCACCTTTCTCGCCAACTTCCATTGATCGTCCGCGCTCTCCACACTCACTTGAGGTACGCAACACGTCAGACTCTTTCGCACCTTCCTTCTCGTTCTGGTGCTCCTGTGGGCTATGCACAGGTGTCTGCTGCAGCGACTATCTGCCTCCTTTCTGTTTCCGCCGCACCCGTGGTCCATCGTCATGTCGAGCGAAAACAAGGAGGGGCAGCAGCAGGGCGGGCCGAGCGTCATGGACCAGATCAAGGGTGGGTGGGTGGGTGGGTGGGGATGCACACACCATGAGGGGGCATTCTGGACGATTTGTTGCCATGTTCGTGTGCACGTGCGATGGTGTGTGTGTGTGTCAGGCGGTGCGGCCTATCTTGGCGACAAGGCCCAGCAGGCGCTTGACGCTGGCAAGCAGGCCGTCTTCGGCAGCGACGACACGAAGGACCCTCAGGGAGCCGACAAGGTACCATCCGCGCAAGCCCTTCCGCCCACGCAAACACGCCTCCGCTATGCAAGCGATGTGATGGCTTCCTCTGTGCAGGTGAAGGCCGACCTGGAGCGTAAGGAGCAAGAAGCCAAGGATGCCTTGGAGAAGACGCGCCAGCAGGCCGACGAGCAGCTGCGCAAGATGGGTGACGCCGCCAACGAGGCGAAGGACAACGTCAAGGACACCGCCAAGGGCGCGCTTGACCAGGCCAAGCAGATGATCGGCGGCGACAAGGAGGGCGCTGGGGAGAAGAAATAGATAGACTGACTGCATGAGTCGCTTTCTGAGTGACTGAGCTGAGCTGCGTGTATGTGTGTGGAGAGCTGACTCCGGTTGGCTGCTGCGTGTTGCGTGTTAGCTGTAGATACTTCATATGCTTGTTTATCGACAGTTTCTGAGGCCGCCAGTGGCCGTGAGGATGGTGGGAGAGCTGGGTAGATTGGTAACAGACTTTCTCGACTTTCTGAGGCGTGAAAGTGATGTGTATCCTGTGGACACCATTCAACATGGGATGAACGAGAAGAAGCTTCTCCCTCTCCTAACTCTTTCCTGTTGAGGATTCCTGGTTTTGAGTGCACTCAAGTTGACCGTAATGAGCATTTTCACCATGTACGGTCTGTGTCTGTCTGTGTCTGTGTGTGTCCCATGCAGGTTTGAGTGTTTGCAGTTCCTGTTGCACAACAAGTGTCCCTCCTACCACTGCCCCTTCATAGACGCGGTATGTACCCACACGGACTCAGCAACATCAGCCTGTCCCATTTCGCGAAGTAGGAAATGACGCTGCATTGACGCAGACGAGAAAAAGGCGCCTTCCTACTGATGGGAGGAAGACTGATGTGTCGGCCTGATGGACTCCTTTGTTGTGTCTGGTAATACTGGGGGTGGCTGCGCAGACGTCATGAATGGTGTTGTGTCGTGTATGCAAGTGTCGTGTCGTCTGCTTAATGCCGCCGTGACTTTAGCAGGGCCTGAGGAGCTCCCTCGTTCATTAAAGCACGCTTGCTTGTCTTCTGCTTGTCCAAAACCGCCATTTTTGCGTCAGCTTTCCGCATGGAAGGCTGGCTTTCCGGGTGGAAAGCTGGCCTTCTGCACTGCAAAGCTGGTTTTCCGTGGCGCTGGCTGGCTTTCCGAGTGTCTGTCCAGCTTTCTGACTGGTAGGGCCAGCTTGCCGGACGAAGCACCAGCTTTTCGCCGCACCTCGTCGGGTAGTGTGGATGGATGGATGGATGAATGTAATTGTGGATGTGCCCTCACCCCACGCGCACTCAGTCTGCAAGTCTGCAACACACACACACACACATATGGGTGGATGGAGGAGATAGCTTTTGGATTATGTAGCAGACTTGTGCGTGGTAGAAATGTGAGACAAGTGGAAAGAGGGTATAAAGAGAAAGGAAGAAGCGAGCTTTCGCGAGATGAGTTGCCCTCCTCCGTCGGGGGGTCGGGACTCGCTTCGCGTTCGCCGCAATGCATGCAAAGCCCCCAAGCTCGCATGAGGCCCCCAAAAAAAGACGGTACCGAATGAAAGTCTCGAGGCCCCAATTACAAACGAACAAACACGAACTTCGGGTAAGAGCGTGCCTCGCTCGCAGGCTTCGCGAGTCCCGAACGATCGCGAGATTCTTGAAGGAGTTTTCTCTCAAAACAAAGATGGGTTCGTGTTATAGCACACTGAGCGGGTATATACGTCGCTGGTGGCGCAACCGTTGCGTGAGGAGGAGCACACTGGTCGCTCTCCGGATAAGGGTGTTCTACGGTGTCTGCAACGTGTACGGGACGGTCCCAGAATGGGTGTTCAGCATCCCAGATCTCCCTTACGTACGCAACACGAAGAGGGAGCGAGAGAGAGAGCGACACACACGTACCTACCGCTGGCTGGCTATCCTTGGCGCTCTGTGTGTGTGTGTGTGTGTGCAGGTGCAGCTATGCGCGGTGGCGAAGCACCTCGGAGAAAACGGGGAGCTGGCGGACGACGACGCGAAAGGGGCGTTCAGGGCTGCGGTAAGATGTCAACCCCGACAGACAGGGCAAACAGACAGGAGAATGTGTACGTCGTATGTGTGTTGTGTGTGCGCAGGTGGTCCGCATGTCGTGCCAAGTTCGGTTCATGCGTGTGTATTGGGCCAGGACGATTCGGGGAGAACCCTTCGGCCAGTACGCAGTGGCACTCACCCGCCAACCCACCCACCCACCCCATGCGCAAGTGTCAATGCTGGCGCTTACTTGTGTCCTTGTGTGTGTGCGCTCATGCATGCATTCATCCAAACAGGGAAATGGAGAAGACGCTGCCGAAACCGCCCCACTACCCCGACATCCTCAATCGCCCCCTATCGGAGGCCATTTCAATATGTAGAGAGAATGGCCCTGGGAGAGGCCAGGTCGAGGACGCGCCAGGTGGACTGGGTCTTAGGGAATACAAGTGACGCGTTAGTCGGCTCATTTCTACTGGGTGCATTTGTACAGAATTGTGATGAGAGAGGTTGTGAGTGCATTTGAGCTCGCTCCATATGTGTCCATGTGAGCGGACCGTGCGCCGAAGTGGATGGCCTGGTGGAGATACATGCGTCATGTATGAAGCGTCTTGGCGACAGCACTCCACACTCACTTGAGGTACGCAACTCGTCAGACTCCTTCCGCCCAAATTGTTCTGCTGCTCCTCTGGGCTATGCACAGGTGTCTGTCACAGGTGTCTGCTGCAGCGACCATCTGCCTCGTTTCTGTTTCCGCCGCACCTGTGTGTGATCCCTCGTCATGTCGAGCGAAAACAAGGAGGGGCAGCAGCAGGGCGGGCCGAGCGTCATGGACCAGATCAAGGGTGGGTGGGTGAGGGGGGATGCACACACCATGAGGGGGCATTCTGGACGATTCGTTGCCCTGTCTGTGTGCATGTGCGATGGTGTGTGTGTCAGGCGGTGCGGCCTATCTTGGCGACAAGGCCCAGCAGGCGCTTGACGCTGGCAAGCAGGCCGTCTTCGGCAGCGACGACACGAAGGACCCTCAGGGAGCCGACAAGGTACTATCCGCGCACACAAGCCCTTCCGCCCACGCACACACACCCAGGCCATGTACCCTGTGATGTGATGGCTTCCTCTGTGCAGTTGAAGGCCGACCTGGAGCGTAAGGAGCAAGAAGCCAAGGATGCCTTGGAGAAGACGCGCCAGCAGGCCGACGAGCAGCTGCGCAAGATAGGGGACGCCGCCAACGAGGCCAAGGCCAACGTCAAGGACACCGCCAAGGGTGCGCTTGACCAGGCCAAGCAGATGATCGGCGGCGACAAGGAGGGCGCTGGGGAGAAGAAATAGATAGACTGACTGCATGATAGACGTGAGAGTCGCTTTCTGAGTGACTGAGCTGAGCTGCGTGTATGTGTGTGGAGAGTTGACTCCGGCTGGCTGGCCTGCGTGTTGCGTGTTAGCTGTTGATAGATAGCGCGATGTCGATGATGGAGACATTGCGTCTCCAGCGTGAGTTGCAGGCGGCTGCGTTGGAGAATCGGCGGCTCAAGAGCTGCCTCGACAAGGAGAGGACCAGACAGACTGTCAACCAACAGGTGTGTGAGCCAACGACAAAGGCTGCTAATCGGCGTGAGTGTGTGTCTCCTTATGTCACTGATACAGACGTTCGGCGCTTTGCAAGAGGAGAATCGCAGCCTCCGCGAGCAGCTGACCAGCCAGCAGGGCAGCGTCAATGCTGAGAGAAACTGAGGGCTGGATGCTCACGTGTTTGTGGACATATCCAATCAAGTCTTGATGTCTCATGGCAAACGCACAACGCCTCACAGCCCCTCGCAATGGTCCACATGAAGACACAAGAAAGAAAGATACTGAGGGCTACCATTTGTATCCGCGGTGTCATTTGTGACGACACATGATCGGTCGGGTCTCACTGTCAGATCACCCACTCACAACGCCTCCTAGCTTCTCGTTCGATGCACACCCGAGCGACTGACAGACTCTGGCTCACATTATCACACAGCAAGGCCCACAAGCAGGCTTGTACGGCCGCATGGTCTCTCTGTACTTCTCCATGATCTCTCTGATCTCGGCTTTCTTCTCCCTGTTCCAAGTGTTAACCGCCGCCATGTCCCAGGGCGTCTGCCCCTGTTGTCATGAGATGAGATGAGCACACCACTCAGCCCATCGATGGTGTGAATGTCTGTGGGCACTCACGTATGGGCCTTTGATGTCCAGCAGCGCACCGCCGCCCCACTCGAGCCTTTGAGAATGACACACAAGCAGAGAGAGAGTGGATGTGGATGAGAAGTTAGCGTCAGTCAGTCTGTGTCGCCCACAGCTGAGACACAGCCGCAGAGTGGCCATTGCCTGCAGCCTTATGGAGTGCCGTGTATCCGATCTGTGTGTGTCATGCACACAGTGAAAGGCAGTCAATCAGATGAGAGAAGACTGTGTTGTCTCACATTGTCGGTCTGTGTCAGCAGGTCCTTTCGTTTGGCATACATGGCCTCCATCACACCGACATGACCCTCCCAGGCAGCCCTTATGAATGGCGTGGTGCCAAGCTGCAATCAACATACACAGACACGCACACACACTGAGGCGTCAGAGACATGTGTGTGCTCTCTTACATTGTTGCGTGCATGGATCAGTTTGGGATCCCACGCCAGCAGCTTATTGACCACCGCAACATGGCCCTGCTGGGCAGCCAAGTGCAGGGCAGTGTCAGCATCCTATTGCATTGCATCACACCCAACACACATTTTCTCCTCATGACCAGCAGCCCAGAAGATGCTTAGGTTGGTACCGGGCCTGTTTGCTGCAGGATGGACCCGTCCATCTCGTACAGAAACTTCATCGCTTCAATTTTACCAAAGTACGCAGCAAGGTGGAGTGCCGTCCAGCCGTCCTGTGTGTGTCATGCATACAAAGAAAGGCAATCAATCAGATGAGAGAAGACTGTGTTGTCTTACCTCCCTCGTCTGTGTGAGCAGGTCGTTTCGTTTGGCATACAGGACCTCCAACACATCGGCCTGACCATTGATGGCAGCCACCATGAATGCCGTGGTGCCATTTTGCAATGAACACACGCACACACACAAGTGACACACTGAGGCGTCAGAGACATGTGTGTGTTCTGTTACCCAGGTGTGTGCATCGATCAGTTTGGGATCCCACTCCAGCAGCTTGTTGACAGCCGCAACATGGCCACTCCCGGCAGCACGGTGCAGGGCATTCGAACCATACTGCATTTCATCACAGCAACACACATCTCTTCACCAGCAGCAACAAAGATGGTTTGTCTGTGTCAGTACCTTGGTCTCTGTTTGTTTCAGTACGTCAGGTTTGCTCTCATACATGACCGACATGACGCCCACCTGACACTTCTGTGCAGCCAACAAGAAGGGCGTGATCTACGCGCAGGAGCGAGAACACACAGACAGACCACTGAGTGCATTTCTGCCATCTTCAAAGTTGCATACCTCATAATCGTCTCGTTTGTCGAGTATGTCCTTTCCCTCCTTGTTGATGAGCAAACGAACGGCCTCGACGGCCTCATCGCCGGCGTTGACGGCATCGAAGATGTCAGTCTGACACACAGCCAGCACAAGAACAGCGGCCCATTGACGTGTGAGATTCTGCTGCTGTCTCCCTGACGTGTTTGATCTGCGGCTGTGGGGCGCTCGGCGGTGTCTTCACTGACGGCTGCTGGGTAGGGAACGCTGCAACACACAAACCATGGATGACCAATCGTATCTCTCTCTGTGTGTTGTGTTCGTGCCTTCCACACGGACCTGTTTGCTCTTCCGCAACCGCAAGTTTGATCTGTGCGGGAGAGACCGTGCTGGGCGGCCCCGTTGTGGTGCTCGCCATGCTCATGTGAACACCCGATGTGTGGCCGACGAGAGACACGTTGGCCGGAGGATGCGAGGCAGCCTCTGCAGAGCACAATGAGGCACAATAACAAGCGCCTATCCAATCGACCTTGTCGGGTGGATCTTCCAAAAAGCCACCCCAGCGGACCCGTACCAGGTTTCGTAACCACTCTTTCCTTTTCTGATTCCAGATGAGGAGGGGAGGGAGTCGGAGGAGGCGAGATCCCCAGTTCGTCGAGAACCTGCCATCAAGACGCGTCAAGCGTGTGCGCCTTCCTCTATTTGCCGTCTCTAGAGCTACATGCATCACATGTTTGGCTGTCGGACGGTCACTCGCTTTGTATGCGAAGCAACTCTGATCCAGGCAAAGGGGAAAAAAAAAAAATAATAATTGGTACTGTATGGGGCCTCTCTGTCTTGTCTATCGGTTTGCCTTGATGGCATTCTTAATGTGCGGCGGCAGAGATGCCGGGATGTCAGGAATCTGACACCAAGGGAGGGAGACACGAGTGAATGAATAAGACTGGGGTGACGGCACAGTACCTCTTTTTTGTCGACGACCTTTCGACTGATCTGCAGGATACCTTGGCCCTCAAACGGCGGTCGACCTGCAGATTATGCCTCTTGTCTCACATTGTGTCTCGCCTATTGTTGGAGCTGCTGCTCACCTCCGTGAATCTGGCCCAGTACTGGAGACGCACACATACACAGACAGACAGCACAGAGGCGACGAACTACTGCTTTAGCATGTCTCTTGTGTGTATGAAATTGCTTACTGCCGCCCAAAGCCCATATGTCCGCCTTGGCACTCAGCTTGTCCACTGAGCGACATAACAGTAAGGCCCTCTAGTAGCATTGTCTCGCTTTGCTTACAGTCTACGTCGAAGCCCTCGGGAGGCATAAAGTTGGGAGTCCCGCCAACTGCAGCACATGAGTCATTTCTGCTCTTGTGAGCCGCACTGTGAAAGATCTATCTGCGTGTGACTACCGGCAGTCAGCGTTGTTTTTCTATCAGAGCTGCGGATCATGCCGAAGTCAGAAATCTTGATGTTGTGGCCTTCGTCCAGCTGACAGCACAAGCGGGACAACAACAAGAGTTCTGAAACTCTGATGGGAGGATCACTACCGTGACCGACCAGTATGTTCTCAGGTTTCAGGTCTCTGTGGACGACTTGGTTGTCATGCAAATACTGCACACCCTCACATATCTGTGAGCGAAACACACACACATAGACAGGGGCACACACAAATAATATAGACTCATATATATATTATAGAGACGTGAGAGACCTCTGCATGTATGCTCCTTTCGACCTGTTTGGCGAATCTGTCGCGCACATCGGGCGGCAGCGGTCTGTTCTTGGCCAGGTAGGACGCCAGAGAGCCGCCCTCGCACAACTCTGATGAGAATGACGAGCAGACACAAGAAAGGACAAGGCGGATGGACGAAAATGCAAGAGAAACTGGCTACCTATGACGATCATGAGGCCGTGCTTGTCGTCTCTGCATATGCCCAGCAGCTGCACTATGTTGGGGTGTCGCAGCTGGATCATCGGGAGGGCCTCCTTGAGCACCTCCATGAACTGCGACTGCACACACACACACACTCATGGAAACAACAGACACAGGGAGACTTCCGAGCGGCACCTCTCGGTCGAGCTCTGAGCGAAAAGGCCGGTGAGGACCTTTCCTGTAGTTAGCTGAATAGAGGATCTGCTGGGCGGTAAGTCCCAGAGTAAGAGTGCTTGGTAATAAGACCGATGG